AAAAATTTTGTTTAGGCTTTCCAAATGTTAAAAATAAAAGTGGCCAAATCGTAGACAGGCCGAATTGTGTTTGAAAAAACACCTGGAAAGACCGCACTTCTAGCGGTTCCAGAAAAGTTTCAAGGATTTCTGAACATAAGGGAATAAGGCAACATAGAATTAATAGCCTAAAATTGCAACGAGGAAAGAAAAACAGGATGTTCTTTAATTAAAGCCAGCTTGTAAAATGATGAAATCTTACCCTCGACACATCGGGATTAAAAATGCTAAGCTTTAAGAGTTGTTAAGTAAAATTCTTCTATTTTCTCTAGTAAGCTAATCTGGAAAAAAATGAAAAAAAGGCAGGAGAAAATTGCAATTGGCTGTTAGACACAGTGCCTGAACAAACTCCAAGAAGAAGTAATTTCTGAGTTTTTCATTGTAGCTCCTCCAGATCCTAGCAACAGGGTATCGCACTAGGGAAGTGTTCCTTTGTCTGTTTATCTGAAAAATGACGTGTTCATTTACCAACAATGTTGCAGGAACCGTCGAGTTCGGCGTACCTATCCTGAATTCCATCTAAGAATGAGGCTGTAATGGGAAACTCTACCATTCAGGATGAAACCTAATGCAATCCGACAAACGTTTTTCCGATTCGTATGGGTACAAAAGCACTTATAGCCATGATGACGTGGGGCTCTCCTAGCGCGGATTTTCAGCAATGTGCAGAATTAACATGGTGAAGCAGTCAAACACCTATCAAAGAGAGATTGCAGTTGGGTCCTGAACAATTTATAGAGATGGTTCATTCCAATACACAAGCTTCTAAACGAATAAGAATAGACGACGGCGCAGCCTTCTGGAAGCAACGTTGACGTAGAGACCTCTCTGTCTTCTCATTCATTGCTGCCTTCAGCAGCATTCGATGCACGTTGACATGGGCTGCTTTGTGTCTGCATGTGGTTGACGACTGCACCATCCCACATCAAAAATTGATGCGAACATACGGGATCAGGTCGCGTATGCGACTATAATCAGCTGTTCTAAACTTCCTCATTGGAAGTCACGCAAAAATGTGATGAGTGTTTCGAGAAGCTGTTGATCATGTAATTACCAGAGTTTTTCGTCTTTTTGTAAGTGTCATTGAAGCGTTTGGCCTAGTAGATTGTATATCAGCATACCCTTCCAGGCTCTGAAGAAGGCGATACTGCCGAAACGTTAGCTAGCGAAGGATAGAGTGTTCAGCGTTGATCAACCCACCTAGCAATGCGCTATGTAGCGGACTCCATTCCCAGCATCGTAGATGTGAATGAGTACACGTTTGGCGTATACGATGAATTTCCGGCCTATCGATCTGTTAGACCAATGTTTCTATCCTTTCAGACTAGTTTAGCAGCAAGTTAACACCTCCGTAAATATGAGGGTTTTCGTTTGCTTGTTGGTTTGGACATGTAATCGAAGCAACCACTACGTGTGTACAGCAGTCAACATCTAGTAACGCGCCAAGCATAAATATGTAGACATACATAGTGTACAAAATACACTGAGTTGCATTTTGTCTTTGTGTAAGGGTAAGCATGCCAAGAGACTCGTCGTGTGTCTGTCATCCATCCACTTTGCTCGTCATCACCGTCATCAGTAAGAAAACGGAGCAGATGGTGCCAGACTTCTCCGAGAGGATAACAGCAGTGGGTCGATACATCGGTATGCCACCGCGAGTCATTGTAAAGGCTAGATATGCATTCAATCACTTCCAAACGATGTTTAACGAAGTCGAATACATGGCACGTCTCTTAGGGATTGATCGACGCCGAGAACTTTATCCTTTTAACCTCTCGTTGAATGAACTGATCGCTTTAATAGATATCAACCGGCCTTTATTCATGACGAAGTTTTTTTGTCGTGCTTATATCATCGATCTTGAAACGGTGAACTTCCGTCAATGTAGCGCTCAACAGTGCGTGAAGTAATGCTCCAACAAGTTTCGTCAACATAATATATGATTTCCTCAGTAGAAAGAAACAATTTCAATAGAAGAAAACGAAAGCGACTTTTACAAATATGATCGGATTCGAATTCAGTTGGACATCGATCTTTTCAGTTTCTCACGGTCAAGGTTGTCGCCGCTCCCATAGTCTTCTAGATTCTCAACTGAGCCAACACTTTGTTATGAAACGGAGCCATCAATTTGTCATTTCCTCATCTTCGCAAGCGCCTCTACCTCGCCTTCCAGTATGATGCGGAAAGACTATAATATCTTCACAAGCGTACCTCTAAGGAACTCTTGTGGAATAAACTTCTATTATAAGAGTAGATGTGGAGTGTCATCTCTTCCGGACCAATTTTTCTGGCATGTTTAACTAGTCATCACCCATTAGAGTCTTTTTCAAGTTAGAACTTTTAGAAATACTGGTCAACAGATCTCCTTTCGTCTTTCACACGGTCTCATAAAGTCGGGACAGTGGTAAGGACCATGCGATATAAACATTCAGCAATTTCAAAGTGATTATTGAATTTAATCCATTATTACGATGTTCCATCATTGATCTTCTTGTTGATGTAATATACAGAATTTTCTCTAATAGAAAGTCTTCAAAATGGAGAAATACAAATGTGTCTTGGTGTCACCGAATGTCCACCTGAATGTTTTCCGCTCGACATACTACGAAAGGCGACTCTTCTGGGCCTGCAATTTGGTCCTAGAAACACTTTTGATAGCCTACGATTTGTCTTCTCCTAACGGTTTCCCGCCTCGTCGTGGCTGGGAGGTGTTCTTAGGTGTCGGGCTGCGATGTACAGCAGGAGGATTCCTCACCAGCAGGGTTTCCCACGTTGAGGAGTCCCGGCGTTTCCATGAGGAAGCCCAGCTAAGAGTAAATCAATATCAATACCAGAATCCACCACCGTCCTGATATCGAATTAGTCGCATGGTGGCAAATCTCCATCTGATACACAAGGGCGACCACTACCTGTGGAGGTGACGACCTGGGGCAGGCTTTCGCCAGGCCGTCCTTGGGACTCCAAGAAAACACAGTGGCTAAGCCAGCAAAATTCCGAAAATTGAAGAATATGCCGGTGTCCACACAACCTGTGAGGATGAGCCGTCCAAATAATAAAATAATGATTTGTCTACATCTAAATAGATCGTGTGTAAACAATGTAAACAACTTATTTCGTTGTAAGTTCGGTCCATTGAATTCAACAACTCTAAAATTATTCCTTCCAAAGACATTAGGGTTCTCGCTGTGCTCGTCACTATTGCTATACACTTAGTTTTCATTAAAATACGCAATCATTTTTACACTCTAAAATAATAGCTACGTGTTCAATAATTTTACACCTTCCCAATTGTCTCTGCTGTTTTATTTACCTAATGAATATCCCGGTTCTTCTATTTGTTATGGATTTGCGTCAGCTCTAGGACAGTTCTGCGTGATGAGATCGCGAGTTTTTGAGTGATACAGAAACGAAAATGACTGGAAATGTCAACAGAACTGAAGAAGGTTCTAGAATACTTCACTGAACGGATCAGAGATGGTTAGAGAAGGTTCTATCTGCAGAAGAGTCTTGTCAAACAGAAGTACAAAGTGGACGGCTTCTCGACAATGAATATAGGCTGAGAATAATGTAAGCATAATTTGCAAGACGTTCGAAGTAGTGCAAGAAGAACAATATTATTGGTTCTATCTTGGGCCACAGAGTAAGCAAGACCACTTTTCCTCCGGAATTGATAAATCGCTACCAGACTTGTCTGCGAGGATAAAAAACAAGCTTTGATACATCTGCTCGTCCCTACAAGTTACTGCAAGCGTCAAATATGAATCCAACCACCTCTACGACGCTACGAGTGCGTCTGAATACATTGGTCAGAGATTTAGCAATGCCGATCGCTTGTATTTCATCCTTAATAATTTATGAAGTTACATAAGCAGTTCTTCTTCCAAAATTACCAAATCCAGAAAAAAATTCGATTTCTGAAAGGAAATCAGCTTCAAAACAACGCAGTCATCGGAAGGATCTGCACTCAAAAATAAAATCCAATGTGTATTCTTTCTTGATAAGCTTGCACGAGGTTGATAAATATATTTATTTTCGGCTAACGTTTCGACGTCTTCGTCTTCCTCAGAGCCGATGATCCGAGTCGATGGTCCATGACTGTGTTTTTGTAGAAGATGGCTCGCTGAGGAAGATCTGGCTCGACAGGAAGGCGAAGACGCAACGTCGAGACGAACAACAATCATGGATCATCGACTCGGATCATCGGCTCTGAGGAAGACGAAGACGTCGAAACGTTAGCCGAAAATAAATATATTTATCAAACTCGTGCAAGCTTATCAAGAAAGAATACATATTGATTAGTCACACCGAGGTTTAGCGAAGGTCGGTTTCGAAATAAAATCCAATGGTTAACGAACGCAATTTTTTTCACTATCGATCTTACTAGTGGCGTGTGTGGCGTAGTGGTGAGAGAAGCTCTGCGACACACACACAGGGTCGATTTCCGCACCTGTGGCTCACCAAAATTGGTACCAGACTTGTCAGGGAGGATAGCAGCACTGGCTCGATACATTGGTAGGCCACTGTGAGTTATTGTAAAGACCAAATATACATTCACTCACCTCCAAACGATGCTTAATGAGGTCGAGTGCATGGCGCATCCCTCATGGATTGATCAACGCCGTGAGCTTTATCCTTTATCCTTTATCCTTTATCGATCTGACTAGTTATTATCAATCACCAGTCATTTTTTGTTTACTTCAGCGATTAAAAAAGTCCTAAATAGTTCAGTAAACACTGGTAATTAACTAATTTATTGATTATCACTGAATTTGTAGGGTTTTTTTTACTTGGAATTTCAGTTATAAATGAAGTTCTTAGTTCTCATAAACATTGTATCGACATTTCTCGAAGCAGCTATTCTTTTTAAGTAAGGTTCTTCAATAAACATCGTCTAAAACTACGGGAACCAATCGTACAACTAATTAAATACTAGAGTAGAAAATTTCTTCGTTCAGTGTTCTTCACTTTTTCATTGAAGAGGCAGCTCCTTGAGTCAGAAGTGGAGCATGTTCATCCGGAAGAAGCTCCTTAAAAAAACACTTAAAGACTCCAAGGTGATTCGACGAAAGAAATGGTGAGTGGTTATCTAAAAAGGAAAAAGAATTTAAGACTGTTGTAATGTGCTTCAAAACGCTGTCAGCACAACGGAAAACGAATCCGTATCCTTAGGAAACTGAACAGAGAGCACTTTTTAAGGACGTGGTTATAGGTAAGCCGAAACTATGGTGGGACACCATAGAATATGTTAAAAATAATGGTGCTATGAAATCCACTTTTATAAAGAAAAAGTTACAGGTTCAAGAGGTTTGGATTAAAAAGCTCATTACATGGGGTACCTGATGACACTATTTGGTATAGTTATAAAAGGAGTTACAAACTGAATTCGTTGTCAGTTGCGTTGGTAGCACAGTAATAGTAGTGGTCCTGTTTAGCATGCGCAAGGAGCCGCAAACTACAAGCTTCCCATCTCTATGTGGTCGAGAAATTGCTGCCACATTTGTCTGGGATCACTCGCTCTCTCCAATCCACAAAAGCTGGAGGTTGCCTGTGATGAAGAGTTGGGAAGTCCTAGCAGAGCTATCACAGGATTCCAAAGGAAATCGACTCGAAAAGCATTCAACGACATGTAAAAAGCAAAAATTCTGAAGCAGCAACTGAACTCATAAATCGAGAGACCGTCGCGTGGACGATAAGTGCAGACGATGAATGAATGATTCGGTTGCAAGAAGTGCTGAGAAGTGCACAACATGGGATATCGGGACATGTAAGATATAGAATAAGTAGATGAGAACATTGTTTATTTTAGCAACATAAAAAATCTGGTCTGAAATAATATCCACAAAAAATCATGCATTGCTGAACCCATCTTCAGAAAATGCCTTTTAGATCTTTCGGATAGATAGACTACATGCAAAGAACCGGCATTTAAAACTGGATTTAAAATGCACTGATCTTTTGCACTTATGCTTTAAAATGTTCTGTTAAGAACTAATAATACATTTTAGATCCAACGAAGGATCCATTCTGGGTAGTGGCTTTGGTTTTAACCTATACGTAAAAGTCTGATAATGACTAACTTCTGTACTTAATCCTGTATGTTTTTTCTTCTTGGACATCTTCAACGTGAGCCCATCAGCGGCCACACCAGCGCTTGCGTCAACTGCGACTGATTTTTCGTCAATTTTCTCACCTGACCTGTTCTTCAGTTTTAGATCTTTTTCGTCATAGATTTCTCCAATCACCTGCAAAATGCAAAGAAAACGTAACTATGTGATATAGAAACGATCAAATACTGTTATTATAGCCTGATTGGCGTCTATCAATGGTTGGAGATGTGAAGTAGGTCTCAAGAGAATTGGAAGCATGGTTGCCACGGACGGTAAAAACAGCGATTTGATATGCCGGTAGGCCACCGCTAGTCACTCAAGCACCAGTTCGATGCTTAGTGGAGAAGAGAGCATGGCATGTCTTCAAGGGATTGGACAACGCCAAACGAGTTTGTTTACTTTCTATGATCCGATCCCCTCTCATTGTTATCCTGAGCATTCCAAAAAATGGACTCCATCATAGAAAGCACCATTTATCGTCCCTACTCTTGTTTATAGTTTAGTAATTCGAGCACATACTCGTAAACCTCATTAGTCCCCGTCACCCACTTATGGTGCTGAGTCAGCCCTGCTTGCCCATTCAATGGAAGTGAGTAGCATCACATTTTTAACATGATGCCCTTCTCTTAAAAATTTTGGTAAGAAGGAAGCTATGGATTGTCCAACTTGTCCTAGCGTTGCCTAGATTTAACCTCACAGCAAAGACCACTGTGCTAGAGAAAAATGGCTCCATCCACTGTACTGGTGCCAGTTATGTTCCACTGAACGTTACCAATGGAACCATACAGGGTATATTACCCCATCGATGGCATGATGACACAAATATGAACTAACCTCTTCTAAATTGTCTTCCAAAGTCACGATACCAACCACACTATAATTCATTTTATCATGGTGATAGTCAACAACAATCGCTAACGGAAAACCTTTCTTCAGTTCGAGCATCAGTTGTGCGACTGGTGTCTCGGAACTTACGAAACGAAACTGAAAAAGTGTGTTTAGTGGAGAATGGAATACATAGCAATATCATCGGCTCTTCATCGCCACCGTGTTGTTCGTCAGTCAAGTTAAGACTCAGGACGTCAATAATAGTAGACGAACAACAATCTCCTGCACGTTAAGAGTGCATTTTTCTCCATGTGAGAAAACAGAACTCTTCGACGAGTTGGACGACAAGGCTATTTCTTCAAGCCCATTGAGACATCTCGTACCACTGCTCCACTTCACGATCTCGTAACGAGACCCAAAGGACACTACTGACTCTGCTTTACCTGCCATCGACGTCGAATACGAAGCGAATATGTTCAGTAGCAAAATCCTTAGCATGTTATGTTCCGCCAAGTACTGTGTAACCTATCTTGTCATTATACTTTTTATTTAGCTAAATATGGGCTTTCCATGAACCTCTACGTTAAATGCCTGTTCCGCCGTTTTTATTCTCAATGATGGCTCGACCAGCACCATTGAAGCACGGCGCACGTGTAACGTAAAGAAACAAAAAAAGAATGAAAAAAGGGTACAGCACTTGGGACAACAAGTCTCAAAACCAGCAAAACTCCTTAAATTTCTGTTCTTTTTTGTTATTTATTTTATATAACCCGTCTTCACGTCTCCTGTGCGATACCAGCGCTTCTCACATTCGCTTCGTTTCCTCGCATCCATTGTCCACGTAGATCTTCCAACTTTTGCGTGTGGTTTCGGTTACTGCTTGAGGATTTTAATTTCCCCGTGAATGTTGTAGAATGCGGGTCGAGCATTTCTCCCTAGAGTCCTGGAATAGCCGGGCTGGAGCGTTCCCAGTTTGATTGTAGAGTGATTTTTTCTCAGACAAGTCCGGCACTAATTTCCCGACCCTAGAGGGATGACAGGCTTGGTGAGTCCGGAGCGGAATCGACCTCGCACCATGTTCGTTAGGACGGACATCACTATCACTGTGCTATCCGCCCTCAAAATCCTTAAATAGCATTAGATAATGAAATGACGATGAGTTTTTGCTCACCATTGTGCTTCTGTGCCACAGTTGCAAAATCATTCCGACATGAATGTCTAGTGAATCGTCAATTAGGAGTAAATCCTTCACATTTAGAATGCCAATGATCTATAATGAAATCCAACCGGGATCGTTAAGTCAATTCGAATAGCGTAAGAATGGGATATTTTAAGGCTTCAGAGAGGACTATTTGACAACTATTAAGGGGAAGTGTTCCATTTTTTCCACTGAATGACTCGTGAAAACTTTGTCACTCAATTTATCTATGGAAGTGGTTGCCAGTGCCACTATGATTTAGAGTGACAGATTTCATAGCAGATTAAAACACAGATAACCCGATGATGTAACGAGGAAACTTAGCAACAGAAAAGTGAGAATCGATATAGAGGACACTGAGAGGGTGTGAAAATCCTCTAGGAAGACGACCTCATGGCTCACATGAACCAAATGGTTTAGTATCTTGGAAACGATTTGTCATTTGCAGAATACTTGGAGACGATTTCGCAATAGAAGCAGAGAGAGAATCAGCATGGACGACGATCAAAAATGAAACTAACAGGTTGAAGGCGTGCTACAGCCTGAAGACAAGTCATACAAATATTTAAGTAAAAGATAAACGAAAAAGTGTTCGGTGTTGATTAATCACTCAAGATTGCGCCATCTATCTGACCCCACTAAGCATCGCAGTGATCGATTGGATATTTTGCCTATATGACTTGTCGGGGCCTATCCATGCTTCAACTCAATATTTCCGTCCTCTCTGATACGATTTTATTAAATTCCCTACACGAGAGGGATAAACACTATGGTTTGCTTGGAGTTCCTACCCAGTGCTAAGTTGACAGCCACGTTGCATATCAGAGAGCCTCCAACTACTGCACTACGAGTGCCCAAGTATTTACTTAAGTAGCATAAAATCATAACCATCTAAAGTGGTCATAGCCAATGGTATACGATGGCAATAAGGGCGAATACACTCACGCAGTTTCGATCATCCCCTTTGAAAACAGGGATTCGTGTGTGTCGATTTGCGTTCAGTTCCTTCTTTAAATTCGAATTCACTTCAGTTTTATCGGATATCATGAACACCTAAAATTTAAACAGACTCTGCTTGGAAAATATGGTATTTCATGTATTTTCAAAATCTTTATTGACATCTCTCTCAACGGTTTACCGCCTCATTGTGGTGGGGAAATGTTTCTGGGTGTCAAGCTGTTGTGTACAGAGGGGTTCAACCTCCAATCAAGGCATCCCAAACTGAGAAGGAGTCCGGCGTTCCTATCCGAAAGTTCAACTAAAAGTAAACCAATTCCAGAATCCACCTCCGTCCTGGTATTAAACAAGTCGCATGGTGGCAATTCTCCTTTTGATCTACAAAGACGGCAACCGCCTGGGTTTGTGAGGACCTGGGGAAAGCTTCGGCATAAACGTCCAGAGAACGGAAATTATGCTGGACCCACACAACCATTAAATATGACCTATCCAAGTTTACACAGTGTCGATATGCTACGGTTTTTAGTTTCGTCAGTTTTTCCTAGGACACTAATTCTTCGTTCTGTGATACACAAAAAAGTCAAGGGATAGAGGACAAAGCTCTCAGCGTTGATCAATCCATGAGATGTGCACCGTACATTCGACTTCATCAAGCGTGTTTAGAGGTAATTCAATGCATATCTGTCTATACAATGATCTGCGCTGGTCTACCGATCAACTCAGTGCTGCTAAAATTCCAGACATTCTGACGCCAATTTGCCAACATCAGAAGGATAGAAGGCTTGATGAGCCTGGATTGCTGTATCGATCCAACGACCATGCGTGCCTTATAAGGCACCTCTAACCACTGCACTGTATACTTCCAAAATCAAGGGATTGTTGTAGAATAAGGTTTCGCTTTTTTATTTCCTGAACGTTCTCTGGGAATCATATGAGATTGATGTTTTTGCTCAACTTTTGAGAGAAAAGGACAACCACCCATGATTTTGGCAACGCGAGCTTGAATTCTCTGCGGGTTATTGTAAAAATACCGCAATCAACTCCTTTAAATGTGATAACTGCTGCTCATTTATTGGGACTGACCTTCTCCAGTGGTGTCATGACGTCTCGCACTCGTCTCACTTGTAGATTCATCGCATTCTCTACCACATCAGCCATGTTCTCATTCTCGTACTTCTGTTGACGTATCAAACCACCCAGAATTCGTTTATCCATCGTCGTTCTCATCTCTGCAAAAGATTTCAACCTTTTCATTAGTTTGTTAGATCCTTTGCAACGCTTAAATTTATCGATGTGGAGCCCGAGCAATTCACAAGATTCAATGATCAGTTTAGATTAAACACAATAGGACAAAGGATGAAGTAATAAATCCCATAACCGACTTTCTATTAACCTCGGCATTGACTAAGTAAAGCTTCGTATTGTATTCTTGTTGAGCAAATGGGATATTTTATTCTCTATTCACGAATAAGTTGACATTTCGGCTGATTTCGCCTTCCTCAGAGCCTGGAAAGGTCAAGTTAACACCAATCTATTCGGCCAAATACCTCCATAACTAAACAGAGAAAACGCTAAACCAAGATTTCAATCACACTGAACACAGAACAACTTTTTTGCACACTCACCGCTTTCTATGAGTCTACAACTGGGTATATCGCGTGGAAACCAACCGCATAGAATTCACATGGAAGCGTAATGTTCCTGTCCCATCAGAATAACAGGTTTATATACTGTCCAATATCACGCGTAACAATGAGGCATTCTTCCCTGCGGTTCATTTTCGGATTTCTGGAATTAATCCAGAACGCCTCGAGAGTTTTGCGCGCTTATGTTCTCGATTCCCGTGCGATGATCCTCACTTCTACTTCACAATCTTCTCCGTTATGTCTTTGTGTCCTTTGCGTGCCCACTGAAGTATTTGGTTTACGTTTACCGACTAGGTGTCCTATTATGCAGGCACAGAGTGGTCTACCCGTTTCGCCAATGCATTCGTCTCCGCACGCCTTACAGGAGATCAGATAAACTGTACCCGAACTCATATAATCACCGTCTCTACCATTAGAGCAAATTATATAATTTTGTGTTGCACATAGAGGGTTATACAGGCGGTTACGAACTAGCTGCGCCTAAGACTTTGAAGTACGTGTCACAATCCTCGCACAGGAATCGAGAACACAAGCGCAAAACTCTCGAGGCGTTCTGGATTAATTCCAGAAATCCGAAAGTGAACCACAGGGAAGAATGCCTCATTATCACGTGTGATATTGGGCAGTATATAAACCTGCTATTCTGATGGAAGGGGCACATTACGCTTCCATGTGAATTCTGTGCGGTTGGTTTCCACTCGAAATACTCAGTGGAAGACTCATAGAAAGCGGTGAGTGTGCAGAGCTATGCTAAATGTGATTGAAATCTTGGTTTAGCGTTTTCTGTGTTTGGTTATGGAGGTGTTTGGCCGAATAGATTGCTGTCAACTTGACCCTTCCAGGCTCCGAGGAAGGCGAAACCCGCCGAAGCATCAGCTTGTTCGTGAATAAAGAATGAAATAACACCTCGCATTTGCTCAACAAGAATACGAAGAACGGATGAAGTGTTTGGCTTCGACTGGATTCCTGAGGGAAACGCCATACATTCGACTTCGTTTAGCATTGTAAAGCTGATTGAATGTATATTTGACCCATACAGTGACTTGCAGGTTTAACGGTACATCAAGTCAAGCTTTTCTATCCACCCGGGCAAGCCCAGCGTCCAGAAAAGGCTTGATTAGGCCGCGTAGAAACCACAGACGTGTGCACACAGGTCCCATAGTTCAAAGTAAAAGATGGTAGCCAATTGGGGAAACTTTAAATGTTGCCGTAACAAATAAACCTGAATAGACCAGAATACTCTAGTACTTAAAGTAGAGTAATTGTATAGAAATAAAGAATTAAAGTATAAGAGAGGAATGTCACAACTTTTAAAAAATTAGACTTTGCAGTTCAAAGTCAATATTCTGAGATCTAAGTGGTATCCAGCTGTGTGCAAATATGGCTGATTTGAGCAGCAATTATGTCCACCTATTTTTCTTTTAGGCTGGTGGTTTAGAGGACGCCTGACTCTTTCATGTATTATAGTTCTTTTCGTGCCTCCCAGGATCGACTTTCTATTAACCTCGGCATTGGAATATGAATGCGTTGTTTTCTTGTTCAGCAATCGCGAGGTTTTTAAATAGCATACATTTACTTCCATAGAGAAACACAATACAATACAACATTAGCTGACGTTTCGGCAGTATCGCCTTCTTCAGAGCATGGAAGGGTTTACTGATATACAAGATCTGATCTTTCTGCTGTTGACCATGTAATCGCCATAGAGTTTTTCGTCTTTTTGTAAGTGGTATTGAAGCAATAGCATTTGGCCTAGTAGATTGGGCCTAGTAGAGGATGGTTGCTGATAGCACACTTCCGCGTTACTCCCCGGAAGGGACAATAGCGCGTTCGTTCCCCATCTTAGACACCTGCGGTCCAGAGTTTTGCAAGCGTCTCAGCAACATTGTGGTTGTATTTCGGTTAGTAACTCATCTATTTTCCATGAGGCTACATGGTGCTACTCGAGGTAAGAACTTAAGAGTTAAACGCAGATTTCAGCAATTCGGACAACTGCCTGCAATTATGTGACTTGGATGTGTGTGGTCAGAGGCGGTAGGGTGTCGTCTCCAACGAAAACAACATATAGCTACTCTGACAGACCGTACAAGCTCTCTCTGAGTAAATACACCCTTGTACAGCGGATCCCTGGCCAGTAAACAATGCATACACACTTGCCAAGAACAGTAGAAGTGAAATAATAGCCGATATGAAAATCGTGATGCTCCTCGTTTACTTATGAAATGTATCATGTATATAATCGTGTATTAGTATTTTAACAGTGTACTTAAAGCCCATTAATGTATACGATATCTACCTGTTACGTTTTTCCCCCATCGCTCGGTCGATCGCAGGATTCTCTTCCGACATTGATGAATTCCAGTCAAAAAAAGCAAACTTTTCCCCACTGATGACAATGCACGGATGACAGACTATGGTCTAGACCTGGGAACGTATTACCACTGACATCTTGGAATTTCAGAAGAAGCCGATGCACCATTTAACATTTTACTGAAGAAGGAAGATAGCTGATCAGGGGGCAATAGAATCCACATATGAACTTGGCCATTTCGATGGATTATGGTTTCAAGACAAAGAAACGAACGGAGGAAGAAATTATTGAAGAAATTCTATGTGTGACGCAAAAATCATACAAATTAAAGGAAAAAGGAAATAGTAGCTGGCGCTGGAACAGATGCTCCATGCATTCGACATCATTGAGAATCATTAAGGGCGGGGTGCCTGAATGCATACTTGAGTTACACAAAGAGTTGCCCTGGAATACCTAATTCCATATAACTTTTGTACTAGTTTGGAGACTTTGAGGGCGTGGGGGACTGTTTCGTGAGATCGAACCAGTGTCCAATCCAGTGCGTATTGTACGCTTATTGAAGTTAAAAAATTTTCTTCTCAGCAATTGCACCAACCTTTTATTATGTTTCCAACGTTAGGAAACAAATAAAGTGATAGAAATGTAATAATAAACGAAATTCATACCTCGACCAACAATCAAATCGAGAAGCTTTGCTAGCGGATAACTGGCTGGAAATGTAATCACAATGAAGAACACCATCAAGTATCGAAACCGACTTCCCATCGACAGAGCATATCTAAAGTGCTCTTGTGCCAAACAATCTTCCATCGCCGACTAACTAGTAACTATTGTGTGAAGGATTTCATAATACGAATAGGTGCTTTTCGAAGACTAGAACCAATATTTTTATAGAGATATGAAGTAGATATAAAAATTGTTGGAAGAACTTATAAAGAAACCTGTTTCCCCATAAAATATTTAAAACAGTGTGAAAATCGGCCGTACGGATAACCTTTCCTCCGGTCATTTCATTATCATTCCTAACTTAGGACGAGTAGAACAAAGAGAAAGGATATGGTAGATTATGCAGTTTTTTGGTGAGTCATATGATAATGTGATAACGGACTTTGTGAAGATCACTTGTGGAATGACTTCAGCGAATGTGACAGTGAACATCGCCGGAACGATGTTGATGAAGAGAATCCGATCGAATTCGGACATACGTAGGTGCGAAAACATTTGATCGAACGTCAGCACGCAAATTATGTTACAGATATTGTTTCCTAAAAAATACACAAAAGTGATAGACAGATAACTCGAAAGACCGACTTTCTACAGACCTCGGCATAGATAGTTGATATATTTATTTATGTGATCTTATAAACTGATCTTCTTAAGCTGACGCGAGGTTGGTACAGGTCTTCGTTGTCGCTGTCGTTGTTGTTGCTGTTGCTGTTGTTGGTCGATGGCTGATGTTTCGGCGACTTCGCCTTCCTCAGAGCCTGGACATATTTTATATTAGAATATTTTTATTATTCGGTGGAAATCCGTCCGGAACACTCCACTAGGTACGCATAGGGCACAAAAGCACAATGGCGATGATTTTGAAGTGACTGTGCGGATCTTAGCGCAGGAATCAAAAACGTCGACGCGCAAAACTCTTGAGAGATAAATTTCAAAAAATCCAAAGATGAACCGAAAAGACGAATGCCTCACTATCACGCGTGACCTAGCGCCCCATTTCAAAATGATATTTTGACCCCGGGGTGTGTCTTGCACGTAACATCACGGTGAGTGGCCTTTCTGTTCAATATGGCATCTATTTTAAAGTTTGATCTTCATTAATACTTTAACCTTTTTCCACCGAATAATAAAAATATTCTAATATAAAATATGTCCAGGCTCTGAGAAAGGCGAAGTCGCCGAAACATCAGCCATCGACCAACAACATCAAAAACAACAACGACAACGACGAAGACCTGTACCAACCTCGCATCAGCTCAAGAAGATCAGTTTATAAGATCATATAAATAAATAATAGGCAGATAGTGCATTGCTTAGTATAAAGTAGACGTCCATGGTTCCAGTGGATGATTAGTTTTTGCCCTGATGTGTATAAAAAATCGGCAACGTGGATGTTACCAGCACTTGTCCGTCAACGGAATGATGTGGGGGAGCACAAGTCGGGATTTAACCCAGTTAAGCTGAAGCGGAAAAGTGGCTGAGAAAAAAGTAAAGCTAGCACCACAGTTGGTGCAGTGGATAGTACGTGAGACCACGGAAAAGGTAACCGCGGCATTGAAGCACATATGAGGTCCCGAGTTTTGCTCATATGTCAGTATCCTTGTGGTTGTATTTCATATCATGCCCTACCATGAAATAATAGCAGGCAGTACATAAATGTTAAAAAATTTTGTTTAATAATATAATATTATTTGGACTCTTTCACATGACGTGAATTAAGTGCTAACGATGACATTTTTTTAACACATTCACCGACGTTCATTCATCACCTTTCCTATACATATTATTTGTTGGGCAAAGTACTACGGCCATTCTAAAAAAGATGGTCCATTACACGAACTAGAAATAGGTTCAATATTTGCAATGGAGAAAAGCTCGACTAGAGGTGAAATTGAGACAGAGGCTGCCGCGATCCTGGAAGACACCTGTTTGCAAGGCAATATCGATACTATTCACAAGTGAGTGAAGATTGTCTGTGTTAAAAACTTGGACGGGACCTGGCAAGGCTATTTCGAAACTCCTCAGAAGAATGATAAAGTTAACAAACAAGACTCTAAAACGTTATGAAATGTAGATGGAGACTGCTCTGAAATCCGAACATCCTCTAAGCAGTGGTGTAAGGCACTGCGTTTATGCACTTCGCAATTTGGGAAACGCAGTGCTTCGAGAAGCCGTGCTATGCAAGCGTGGTCACTTACTCGATCTCACCCTCATCCTGAGATAACAAACCGTAGCTTCCGAAGTCGGCCACTTGGTGGCAGATTTTCCTGGAAAGAGTTCCCCCGCCCCACAAAAACCGGTGACAACCCGTGGCAAAGATCTGAGAATGCTCTAAAAGCGATATTTCAAGACACCATCAGAAATCAGCTTGACAGGCATTTAACGACATTCGTGAAGAAAACTAGAAGCTCACAAGCAGCGGCCGAAACCATATGCCGATGTCTGATGGGAGACAACGAATCGAGTGGAAGTGCTAGTATCCACATAACATGTGAACACATATCATGTAAAAACATGGATAGGAATCATCCTTAAAAAGCAGAAAACTGGACTTTTTTGTTCTTAAAATGCCGTTTTTACCTTAAACAAATTAACTGTCTGTGACTACAACTACAATGATGTTGGAATATTTACAAAATTCAAGCCCCAGACCAGATTCGAACCCGCGATTACCTCTTCCGTACAACTGGAGCCTGGGTTTTGCAAATGTTTCAGCATCATTATGGCTTAGTTTCACATAATACCCTGGGAAAAATAATGAGCTGTAAATAAAAAGCTGTATATTTCGAAACCGACTTTCCTTGAACCTTGGTATCACTAATCAATATGTATTCTTTCTTTGATGAGCTTACACGAGGTTGATAATGATGTTTATTTTCGGCTAACGTTTCGACGTCTTCGTCTTCCTCAGAGCCGATGATCCGAGTCGATGGTCCTCGCTTGTTATTCGTCTCGACGTGGCAGCTTCGCCTTCGTGTCGAGTCAGGTCTTCTTCAGTGAGCCGAGGTTCACTGATTCACTGAATCGAATGATTCGAGGAGACGAATAACAAGCGAGGACCACCGAATCGGATCATCGGCTCTGGGGAAGACGAAGACGTCGAAACGTTAGCCGAAAATAAACATCATTATCAACCTCGTGTAAGCTCATCAAAGAAAGAATACATAAAAAGCTGTATATTCTTTGTGATTATGACTGTCGAACTCCGTAGATCGACATTTTCTGCAGTTTTTTGTATAGTAATCCTGCACTAAAAACAGTAAAGTTATCGATCAGAATGTAATTCAACCCAGTCCACAAACTCGTCACTTTTTGCCTACTGCCTACTCTTTTTTAATGGCAGGGTAATCTGTGAAATATAACCATAATTATGCTGAGATATTGTTCGTATTTTTTTTGAGCAAACGCGAGGTGTTATTGTTCTTTGTTCACGATTAAGCTGACGTTTCGGCGAATTTCGCCTTCTTCAGAGCCGCTTTCTATGAGGTCTCCACTAAGTATGTCACGTATACTATACATATATTATACATTATATATATATATACATATATTATACATTATTGTATTATATACGTATACATTATACTTCCACGTGATTTCTGTGCGGTTGGTCTCTACGTGACATACTTAGTGGAGACCTCATAGAAAGCGGCTCTGAAGAAGGCGAAATTCGCCGAAACGTCAGCTTAATCGTGAACAAAGAACAATAACACCTCGCGTTTGCTCAAAAAAAATACGAACAAAATCACTTGATCAATGCCGAGGTTAATAGAAAGTCGGTCGTGGCAGTTATGCTGAGATATTTGCAAAACTCTGGACCGCTGGTGTCTGCGGTGGAGATCGAACGCGTTATTACCCTTTCCGGACCTAACGCGTTCACCACCACACCATGCTAGTCCTTCTTGTTGGCTTTCTCTCAGCTGTATTTTTGACCTATAGGTGCTATCAGCAATCACCCTTTAAAGGGATTGATAGCGTGTTCCTTCCCACCGCAGACACCAGCGGTCCGGAGTTTTGCAAATGCCTCAGCATCAGTATGGTCATCAGCCCACAAGGTTTTGACTCTAAAACTCCATTATGTTACCACATCTGATTTTATAAGTAGTAATGTTATAGAAAAAAATTTTGATTAACTATAACCTATAAAGTAAATCGCTGAAGAGTGAAGAAGTAAAATACTGCAGAAATCGACTAACCAAATAAAATTGTACACAATATAAAGTTTCCATTCTCCCTTATTGGAATGATATTAGCTGCATAACGTCTAGTCTTCGGGTCTTCATCGTATTCCTTGATGCGCTAAAAATTACGGAACTAAAAAATCCGGAACAACGTAAGGGTATTCTTAGGCTTGCATTTAGCATGCCTTATGTAGACGTGTAAGGCTATGTATCAAGGTCAATGCCCTCATCGACCACAACGACGGATCATAGTGAAAATCGAAAAATCGATCAAATCAATGGACGAGGAAAAGTAATTTGCGGAAGGATAGTGAGACAGAATGTGAGGTGTCGTTGTTGTTCATCATCATCTATCGTTCACTTAAATGCGTCTTTCATTAAATGAAGTATTTGCATTTGCTACTCCTGCACGTAATTTATTGCGTTATAAAATACTTGGCACAATGCCCACGCGCGTGTCCCACATTGACGTTCCTTCTTGACAATTGGGCAGGCTACTAGGAACAGCCTTCTTAACCGTCGGACACACCACCAGGTATGCTACCGGTCACGGCTCATTGCTTCAGAACTAGACCCTGCGACCCATGCCACTAATGGTCGCTTGGACTTATCCACGCCCACTAGCACGGTCATTTGGCTTCTGACTACGCCTTTGGAGGTCGCCGTTGGCTTCCGTCATCATTTTGCTCTCGCACTTTTCATTCACAACTCCTTCGATCCATCTAGGCACAAATGATTTTAACTAAAATCTTTAACTCTTTCATGATCATTACATTAATGTTGTCGTCGATTCTCATGATAGTTTTCTTAAATAATCGTATTGCTCACGGGTACTCTACCCAGCAATTTTTCATTCTCGTTGCCAAAGCATTCCCGTGATCGCAATTCACATTCTTGCACCAGTCACTATATCATTCATCTGAAAGGGTTGTATCCGTGCAAGGCGGATCTCATTTTAAGAAGATATGACAGATGATATCAGAAGACATGAAGAATAACACGAATCCGACTGCTAACTGAGCTTATAATAAGGATGGACCGTTAGTAATAATTCCTGACAGAATACAGTACTCAGTCCATTGATATGAAGCAGATGAAATTCATATGCCATTATGTCTCGTCAGCTTATCAAGTTGATAATCAACGCCATTGTATGACGAGCACGACGTAGTGGTTGGAAGTGTCATGCGGGACACACCAACACGGTTTTATCTCGTAATCTCTCCGGAGTCGGAAAATCGGTCACTGCCGGCGGGCGTCCGCAAGACAGTGTACAAGCCGGATATGCAACCAGTTACCTCTACGGTGCTACGAATGGAATGGCATTCACGGCGCACTGCTCATAAACTTACCGGCGCTGCCCGTTTTATCTTCGTCGTCCTTTCACCATTGATGTCAGCACGAAGTGGAGCCGAGTATATTGATCAATATCGACTTACTCGAAGGTCGTCAATATCCAATGACATTAGCGATAGATTCAAACCGGTGAAAAGTGCGCTGAGTAGCAGAAAAAAACAGTAGATGATATACAGCACAAGTAGCATAGGATCTCCTGAAAGAAATGCAAATCTAGCTCGAATCATTTTTCGTGCAAAACAAGTGGTTTATTTATAAAGAAATACCCACTCCCTAATAATAAATACAATTTCAACATTTACTAAAGACGCAGCTCAGTCTAACACTGTGCATTTTCCTGTCACTGATGATACGAAAGTGAATCGTTACCCTTGAAATTTGTAAGTCCATCTTTCGAACGGAACGTCGTGGGATACTTATAAAAAGGAATAATTTCTTTTTTTTTGCTAAAACGGTCCCGCTCATACAATGACCGAGATTTCTGAATTTCGCTGATTTTTGAACTGGGCCTGTTACACCGTCAGCTAATAGCAGGAATCACTGGAGTGGTGGAAGAGTTTAAATCGAAAATTAGCAGACCTCCCCCAGAACCACAGCCTACAGTGAGGATCTGGGAATACCCGTGCCAGGCTACATCGGAAATCCAAGGGTATCGGTGTCAGTCAGCACTCAACAGGTCGACGAGGTGATATGATTACCCATCTTCAGGCTGATGTCGTAGCCACACATAAACCTGACATTCTATGGGTGACGATTTCAAGACCTCAGAGGGAATGGAAGAAAAGAGTCGAAAGGGCGTATGGGCCAGCTTAGTGTCTAATTTGGTTCATCAATCGGGAGCGATGCTTCCTCTAGATTTTATGCAATTTTAACAAATTATGGTGATGCAACACCGTCACATTCTTTAGCATCCTCATGCTTTGACCATGATGATGAAACTGCGTGAACATGAGCGAAGAATTTTGCAGCCTGTTATGAATATAGTAATAGGACAGAAATTCCACTGCTACTGCAATTTTCTTCGCAATCCATTTCAGTTATATCCGTTGTGATTTCAAGAATAAACATATTTTTCTTTAAAATATAATACTAAGTCGAAAGCGACTTTATACTTGATAGACTGACGATGGACCTCTAAGTGAGTCTCTCCGAGGAGCCAGTGACAGAGATTGCATTGGCAACATGTCCTATTTTGCAAATACTTTTAAAATCCAAAAGTTTGAATCTACTGACGATTACATGCACCGATCCTTCAAAGTTAAAGGTTCTACCCACTGTCGAAAAGTCGACCAATAAGCCTCATCTAATTGAACACAATATTCCCTATAATAACTTCATTTTACATGCCTTCCAATAGGGACTGATGCCTAGCCAGATATGATCCAAAGCATTGGCCTCAACAATCAATAACAACGATAGCGGGTCATCCAAAATAAGCAACATCTGTCCGCAGAACGATAGCGGGGTCACCAACTATAAACAGCATCTGCTCGCAAACAGCGACTGTTTACGCCTCTGCCGTAATAGTAACAGTAACATACGAGGACGACGCACAGGTATAAAATGACCGCGGTTAGCTGGTGAAGTTCACATGCCGGCGTTTCTGCCACTTGGCATCTCCATTCACCCTTTGTCATTAAATTGCCCTACTATACTTCATTCTGTGCAATCTGTTTTGCGCCTACTGCTCATTGTCTTAAATGTCTTAGTCCTTACCTTCTCGCTTCACCTCACATTGCAGATCTCAGTGATTAGGCTCTCCATAAGCAGTATTAATCACAGTTGCGCATTGCATTTATTACCATCTTAATAACAACACTCTTCCAATGGTTTACCGCCTCATCGTGGCTGGGAGGTGTTCCTGGGTGTCGGACCGCGATGTAAAGCGTGGGATTTATCAGCCGGCAAGGTCTCCCAAGCTGAAAAGGAGTCCGGCGCTTCCATCGGAAAACCTAGGTAAGAGTAAACCAATACCAGGATCCACAACCGTCCTGGTATCAAGATCGCATGGTGGTAAATCTCCCTCTGATCCACAAGGGCTGCGACTGCCCGTGGTGATGAAGACCTGGGGCAGACTTTGACCAGGCTGACCTCGCGACTCCAGGGAACCATAATGGCTTAACCAGCAAATCTCCGAAAAGTGGATATTATGCTGGGGCTCGCACAACCAGTGAGGACGGGCCGTTCAAATATCAAGCAAGTATCAATAACAACACATGTGTTAAAGCTATTTCATTCCTATATATGCCTCTTACCATATTAACCTCATTGCACGGTCACTGTTGTATTCTATTCGACCTCACTATTAGTATGATAACCAATTAGAGTTAGCCACTCGCCCTATCAACCACCTGGTCTCAATGCTGCCCGCGCTACCACATGCTCCTTACCTTTCTAGGTCGTATTTTATTTTATTTGAAGTCTCTTTTTTACATTAGCCCAATAGCCTACAGTATATAGTACAACTACTCATCTTATGGTGACTTCTTACTCATTGTCTTCACCTGTATCACCTGTAGTCCTGTTGATCATCGAGTGACTCGAGCGGGCGCTAGTAAATCTTCCATTTTTCCCTGTCGCGTACAAGACTAGCCCAGTGAGTTCTGCTCCCTCTACGGAGTCATCGAGCACCATATCTTTCTTCAAGGCTCTTTGTGAAGAACTTTGACCATTGGGTCGGTGGTCTTCCTGCAGTACGTTTGACATCCTGAGAAATCTAGTCACTAACGGCTCATGTCGATCGGTTGTCATTCACACGCATTACGTGTCCGGTCCACCTTATCTTGGACTGTTTGGCGTATACAACGGCATCTTTGATTTTTGATCGTTGACACAGGTAGGAGCTTCGGATCCCATCACTTATGTGAAACGGGATACCCCTAGCATCGTGCTTTCGACTGCGCGTTCGATAACGCTGAGTGATCTTTCATCCTGCTTACGCAGCGACCAGGTTTCTGACGCATACGTTAAAGCAGGAAGTATCGTTGAGTCGAAAAGGTGGGCACAAAGTCGGGTGTTCTCTGTTCTCTTTAATACATTCTCGATGCTGTTGAAAACTCACCAAGCCGCTAGCTACCCTCTGCTCAGCTCTGGTGCTAAGTCGTTCATTATACTGATTTCTCGACGAGGATAGACATAACTGGAGCATTCGGAGATATTCGCTCCTTTGAGCGTGAATGGGGCATGCGAAACCAATCCGTTCTTCATGAACATCATTATTGTGAGATTTCGTCGAAGCATAATATTTCCACATGCTTTATCAACGTCGGTAAGCATACGTTTCGCTTGCCTAATGTTTGGTGTTATAGGGACGGTGTCATGAGCAAGGCGAAGATGATGTAACTGCCGACTATCGGTTTTTACTTCCATATTATCAGATTCCAATGTTCCCATGACGTTCTGGAGGGTGGCGGTAAATAATTTTGGCGAGATGGTATCGCCTTGCCTAACTCCTCTTTTGACGTCAATGTTAATATCGTTGTAGAATGGTGATATTTAGGCTGTGAAATTCTTTTACAGCTCACGATGAGTTTCTATTTACTGAGTAGGGATTCCTTGATTATCAAATGCTTCCATGACTGATGAAAGCGAGACAGCGGTCTTTTGTACTCTTGCGATACTTCAGTGAGCCTTGTTATCGTGTGGATGTGGTCTACCGTGCTAAATCCTTTTGGAAACCCTGCTTGCTCACATGGCTGTCCTTCGTCTAGTGTTCTGTCAATCCTGTTTAGGATTACTCGAGTGAAAACTTTGTAGACGACAGACAGTAAGCAGATTAGGCGATAGTTGCCGATATCATGCAGGTCACCTTTCTTGAACAATAACACGGTCTTGTTGGTCTTCCACTGAGTAGGGACGTTGCACTCAGACAGGCAACGCGTGAAGAGTCAAGCCAGTGCGTTTAGGAGGACTGGCGGAAGGTTCTTCAGGTGTTCTGATCTTATCCAGTCCGGACCTGATGCTGTTCGATTTTTCACCGACGAAATGGCATGTCGGATTTCGGAAGGGAGAACCGGTGCTACAACATATCCATCCTCCTTTATTTCATATGACGGAAGGTGGAGGTGGCTATCGAAGAGATCCGAGTAGTGTTCGTGAATGATTTTCTCCATTGTCTTTCTGGATGCTGTAACCGTTCCGTCTGGGCGTCGTAGTGCAATCGTCTTGGTCGTGTAATTGGCGAAGCTTCGGTGGGCTTTGCGAATGCTTCTCCCAGCCTCTGCAGCTTCGGCCATTACTGCTGCTCTTCTCTCTCTAAGATCTTTTATCGCTTGTCTGCACTGTCTTGCATGTTCGGACGTTAGAACATTAGTGTTTCTGGAGACAAACGCCTCTGGGTGACTTTCGAACTCTGAACTCTCATAGCGCTAACGTTATGATGTTGAATGAGCCGATCGTATTCTTTGTCGATGTTATGGACAATGTAATCTTCCCAACAGCAGAGTAATGAATTGAATAATTCCCAATTTATGGTAGTTTTGGGACCTCGGTTTTTGAATTTAGCGGCTTTTCTCCTTTCCGCGACAAATAGAATCTTGCACGAAGGAGACGGTGGTCTGATCCCATGTAGAATTTTGAAACAACAGCGACATCGGTTGGGCAAAACCTTCTATCTACTACAATGTGGTCTATTTCGTTATGGTACTCTCCATTGGGAGACTCCCACGTCCAGTGCTGAGAGTTGGGTTTCTGGAATTGCGAGTTACCACGGATGGTCTTGGTCGCCATGATAAACTCAGATAGCCGCTCACCTTTTTCGTTCGATTCTAATCCATGGGTCCCAATGTGACGTTCTTAAGACGTTCCTCTTAGTCCAATCTTGGCGTTGAAGCCTCCAACGATGACCTCGAAGAATGTATGGTCTTCTCTGTAGAACTTCTCCAACTCCGTATAGAACGCTTCGACTTCTTCTTCGTCAAAGTTTGACGTCGGCGCGTAAACGACGAAGATTGTTAAAGCCGATATTGATCCACATCTTTTTAATCATAAACGTCCAATCTGGGTTGTTTGCTGTTCGAATGAATCGATGTTCATGGACAAACGGGAATGAGGCGCGTTTTTTTCACTGCGTTTAGCATTTTGATATCCACGTATAGCTTGGTGGGCTCTGAACGTGGGGACTGGATATACTCACGGGTAGCTTGTCAGGCTCACCCAAAGTGGACATGGAGCTTATTTGTTGGAGGCGACTCCTAGCCGCCTCCTATATAATTCCCAGTTACTTTATTGAAGGCTTTTGGCCGAATTGACTCGTGGAATGCAATCCGCATAAGCAAGAACGTACCCACATACTCACGC